GTAATTTTGCAGGTATAACCTCTGAGGAGGATGCAATTTAGGTTAGTGGGTTAGATGCTCGGCTACGACTGAAAGGATCCCTTACTTTTAATTGATTTTCGAGCATAGAAGTATTATAAGTGTACAATACGCAAGAACAATCTCGGATAAAATCCAGAATGATAGAGTTTTTGATAAATCTTCCAATAAAAAAATTAGATGTCCGAAATCAAAGCAAATTAGCAAGGAAGCATTATCTTAAAGTGGAGACAGTGGAATTAAAAACCTTTACATGCGTTCTGTCCCACATTTGTTCTCCTTTTGACCTAATGAGCAACCGTGTTGTCAGCTGTAGTTAAAACAAATACAGACTGCTGCGGTTGTATTTCCTTTTGAAAGGATCTTAGAAAACGTGAATTTATTTTAAAACGATCAGATCCTTAACCCTCATAGGTAATATGGTAGCACTTTGGTATGAGAACACAATTCTGTTCTTTACATGGAGATTCGGATACCCTAGAGGTTTGCCCCAAGCTCCCGCGGTTCCTAATGTGCTTTTCATGTCGCCTCAGCACCTCAACACGTGTCCAACCCACACCCTTAGATGTGGTGTGTATTATCGATGTATTGCCTTGTACAACTACGAGCACTCATGTGAGATTTTACTTCAACCAACCGCGAAGTATTACACGAGTCCTCTTTGCACGCGTTTGAAATTTTTCACTTCCTTAAAGTGGTTTCGACCGAAAATAGCCGCGAGGGTTCCCCTTTTACAGTTTCACGATTCGGATCTATCGGGTATGCGGAATGAAAATGATCTTAATTGCCAAATTTACATAAAAAAAGAGTGGAGAGGAGGCATTAAAATTGGAACATTCCACCTGCATGTAATTACGTACAAAAATTAATGTTCTTAAGACAAGTAGCAAAAAAGAAATAGTTACCTTAATATTACCAAATTATTTAAACGACCCGAACTAATTGGCATCCGTTCTATAACATGTTTTCGTATTCATCGAATTTCGTTATTTATTGACACATAATACAGAGAAATGTTAATGAAGAGTCTTAGTTTCTTCGTGAAATGCTGAAACGGCGTGTTTGACTAATTAAATCGTACCTTAAGCTTATAGAATTACACATTTTATATACGACTATTGCTTTAATATTCATATTCTGAATTTTAAATTACATAAGCTATTAGTAGATAGTATCAATAACTTTGACAAACTTACCGCATTCAATTAATCTCGTATTACCGGAGAGGAGTTTTGAGCCAAAATGACTTTAATTAATCCCTCATCGGCTTAAAGTATGTGCAGAAAGTCACCTGCGTGTTTTGCACATCATCCCATTTACATCAGACACGGTAAAAGAATCATCTCAATAAAGAATTAACAACACCCTTAAGAAGGTGAAAAAATAAAGTTCCTGAACGGGTATACAATTTTCTATATTGCATTTTCGCATCACCTTCCGGAGGTTATAAGTCCATTTATGACTGAGATCCGAAATTGCAATTACCCTTTTCCGAACAAATCATCCGTTCCTTGCTGAAATTGTCCATAACACACTTTCTGTTAATGAGCAATTTAAACTTACCGCGATTTTCTTACTTTCACTTTGATAAATAATACAATTCTAGTTGCTTGCGCAAAACTAATGCGTGTACGTGGATTTAGATGTAAATTTGATGTTCAGCTATCTGCATCTAAAACGGGTAAGCAGCCAGAAAAGTAAAAGTTTTAGTTTTTACCTAATGGGGGTAAGATTCCTTTGGTCCTTTCCTTCACCACCCCATTCATTATTCAAAAATAACAAGTTTTTGCCGATAAAATTAAAGTAAGGTTAGATTTAAAATCAAGATACGGTCCGCTCATTTACACGTTCTTTACATTTTTGAATATACACTCCATCGTAACACGTGATCAAATGATGAAAGTGGAAAAACTCAATCGATCACTTGACGTAAGCCTTTCCCATTTAAATGAGTCTCATTTTCTTCTTTCCCGATTTTTCCTCGACGTGGTTATTTAGTGTGCATTGCCGTTCGCCCGTTAAAAGAACCCAATGGAAAATTCTTTTGTGTATTGGTCGAAGAAGTATATAATTTTGTTTTCCTAGTACGTCAAACGGAGAAATTTCCTAACGCAAGATCATCATTTTCGCCAAAACGAAGAGCGCCGTTCCACAAATTTAAGGCTAAAGCAAAGGAGAATTGGACACGATATGAAATATCAAGAACAGAATTGAAAAAGTTTAGGCAACATTTTAACGGAAGCAAAATTGAATTTGTGATTGATGATTGGCGGATTTCAGAGAAAGTAGGAGCAAAAAGTACGTAAACTGGAGTTTCAGGCCTAAAAAAATAACCGTTTGACGGATTTAAAAAAACCTGGTGTCAAATTAAACGTTGTTTAAAAAATCTTCTTAAAATATATGTGAACACAAAATTATCAGCGCAAACTACAAAAAGTGTTCACCTCTTTTTGGAACCTAACTTCACAACCTCATAAACAAAGGAACACGACAAAGATTTTTAAACATTCTTACAACATTGAATTAAACGGGATTTCATATTTTAGTTCCTACAACGCATCATAAATCAGAATTAATTACCCAAAAACGTGCAGTAAATTGACTTAAGAATTATTTTTTTATGATTTTTATTTGAAAACTCCAGAAACCTAACCGAATACAAATAAATATAACAAACAGTACAAAGAAAAGGACTACAAAATAATTACAGACGAACTTGGAATAATGAAGAGATGGGGGGTGGGGGTGGGGGAGGGAGTATTTCCAGAATTATTGAAAAATAAAGAACAAATCAAAGCAGATTGTGAAGAATGAATACCCGAAAATTACTTACACGGATAAAATAAAGAATGAGTGAGAAATCCAAAGAGAGGACAATGTTGAGGCTGAATTGGATGATAGAATTAGTAGTTCTGCCAGATTATATCATTCACTAAGTCAAAACTTCCTGTAGCGAGGGAAATTAGTAAAGGAACAAAGACTGCTGTATACAGAAAGATAGTGAGTTCTAAAAATTGACCACACCACTGAAGAACAAGATATAAACTATGGAAATTAAATACCCCAGGGGCGTAAAAGGAATAACCAGCAGGGGCAGAGTACGGAATTACACCGTGAGATCGGAATTGGGAGTTGACGTAATTCTGCAAAAAGTCGAAGAGCAACAGCTCCGATGGTTTGGACATCTGAATAGAATGGAGAAGGAGATGCCAGTAAAACCGAATATGGGAAGCGAAAGAACCTTTTGAAGAGATCTCGAGGCCTAGGAAAACTTGGAATGAAGAGAGAAATATCCTGAAAAGAAAATAGTAGGTATGAATACAATGTTAAAAACTCAAGTGAGTTACCAGGGCTGTTAAAGTTTGGCCGCCCATCGAATATTGTTTATTGGGGTCCTCTAATCAAATTTGGAAGGGAGGCCGGTGGATCCACCGGTAACTTCCGGTTTGATGACGTCAAAAAGTTCACAATTTCGCTAATTCGGAAAAACGCTTCTATTTCAGTAACCACTTGTCTGATTTTCATGATCTTGGGCTCATTGGAAAGAAATTAAAATAAGACAGAACTTTTATGAGAAGTGCAAATCGCGTTCCACGAACGGTTTTCGCGAAATTTGCTAAAATTTGAAAAATTCACGATTTATATTTTTCACAGGTAAAACGTTATTAATACTTATTTGTAACTTACGCAAAACATTATTATAACCTGCTGCTTTCTCTTTTAAAACAATTCCCATTCAAAAGCAAATTGCGTTTCGCGAACGGTGTCGCCAAATTTGCTAAAATTTGATTGAAAAATTAGCGAATTTTTTTTTCTTTATGACAGATAAAACGTTATTAAAACTTGTAACTTACGAATAAACATTTTTATAACCTGTTTCGCCTACGGTTTTTCACAAAATTTGAAATTTTTTATTTGGATACTTGTAAATCACAAAAAATCAATTTTGGAATTTGTTTCTTTCTCTTTTAAATCTAATAATCCCGGCCAATAAAAATTTCTTTCATTATACTTACCGAGTTGTAATCGGTTATTCTAGTACATCAGCCACCCATATTTTGCATATATAATATTCCAAAAATGAACTGCTAATAAAATAATGTGCAAGAAAATACAGTAATAAAGAAATATTAATGTAGATTAGAAATATTGCAACAATAAGTTCTGTACAAATAGTAAATTGTATCTCACAGGTCCCTTATTCTCTAACCCTATTGTATCACACTAGTGTAATATTTTTTCTCCAACCACCTGAATAAGACGCCGTTTTGTCACACTTTTTGGTGCAAAAAATGGGCGATTTCAGGAGTCGTCGGTATCACCATGGTAACTGTCCAAAAAGTAGGTACTTTTCGGACTAGTCCAAAAAGTAAAAATTTGATTGCTTGGGGGTTTGTTGTCCATATGGGTAAGAAGTCTTCGATCTTTCTTTTGCCAGCTATGTTCAAGTGCATCTGGATCTGGCGCGCTAATTTCTGCTTTGAAAGTGGATACCCACAGCCATGGTAACTCACTAGTGTATATTCATATCTACTAAGAGGAACAGCATGACAGAAGGGAAAGAAATTCTCAAATAAAAAGGAGTAGGAAAAGTTCGTACATAAGAAGGACCAAGAATGACTTAAATAATATGATTATTGTAGACCAGAATGTACCTAATATAAAGTGTGTGTTCTTTTTGATATAGCTAATTGTTTTTGTTAAATTCCGTTACCACATGATAACATAGTAAACTTTATAGCATAAAATTTTCCTTGCGAAAATATTCTAGGGGAACGCAGTTCTTGGGAGTGAGTAGGGAAATTTTTGGTGACCAAAACTTAGAGGAAGGGTTTTTAGGTCTCGATCGGTCCATGAGTAAATCTTTCGGAGACTAATTGACCTGTAACCAAGATTTTTCTGCGGGGAAATATTTCGAGGGTGAATTTTCGCAAATACGAATCTTTAAAAAGCTCAAGCTGAAGAAAATCGGTTGCATTGTATAATTGGTAATAAAAATATCATTCATTTTATTTTTAAGTTCACAGTAAGAAAATCCTAAAGAAACAGAAATCACCCTATGTAATAGCATAAAGTAATTACCATATTTATTTCACATTAACCGAATTTCTGTACCTGACTTAACCGACTCCAAGTTACAAAATGTAAACACGACTACCTCATGTAGACAAATGAATGAATTCACTTAAAATGCTATTAAGCGTATGATTAAAAAATTCTACTGGATTAAGATTAGAGATAGATTAGATATTGTAATTAAAATTTCAACCGTAAACGGAAGTTGTCAGTCTAATCCCAGTCCAGCTTTGAAACAACTTTATTATTTGAAAGATGTACGTTTCTCGCCCCCAACTTGATCGGTAATTGTCAAAACTAGAAAAAAATTTACATAAAAATGCTAATGTCAAGTGAAGGACGAGTACACTATTTTTACTTGTTAGCTACACGTAGGTAGTGTAGACACACGATTGATGTCACACAAGAAATATATTGCATGTAACCCAAACATGACATGCAAGTACTCTTACAATATACTGGAAACCGATTTAGGGGTTGTACGTACACGTGTAAACAGTACCGCCCACCTAAAAACGGAAGTGCCGAGCAGCCATTACAAAACACGCTTTTACTTCCGGAATTCTGATATAGATCTACTTTAATAATACGCTTACATTACAGAATGAGTTACATGCTTTCAGTTTTTATGGATTGCTAGTTGGCATTTGCCCGATGCAGAAACAGAAATTACTGTAATCACTGTGTGTGTGTTGTAGGCACGCAGCAACGTACCTATGCGTTTTATATGATGAAACACGTAAATGTTTGTTATCAAATTTCAAAATCTGTTTTTTTCGTAAGAGTTTTCGCTAAATACGCTCGTTGGCGGTTTCTCTTATTTTCGGTAGCGATAAGATTTTGTTTTTTGATTTAAAAGTTTTAATACTGTACTAATCACACGAGACTAGGTCGAATATAGTCTATGAATTCGTTTATTTATTTTTATACCTGGTCTACACCATGAGAACAGCAAAACACGAGCTAATGTGAAAAAAGGCAAATTCTGTGCTTTTAACGGCTATGAGATTCCGTAGATCAGCAGTAGGTTACTCTTCAACGGCTACTGGAGACGAGGACTGATGATGAGGGCAGCCTTATCCATCTGTAACAGAAAGTTTTGAAATATACTTTTGTTCTCTAATATATTGCAGATTAGTCTAATACTTATGTTATTGAAACTGTTATAAAAGTTTAAGGAATTTATTGCGAACGATCTTTCCTTGTGTTCCCAAAAGGTGTCAAGATTTTTTCATATACAATCCTATGTGTATTTTCTGTCACTTTTATGCCGTCTTTGACATCCTTTCAGATAAAACGCCCTTCCTATATAAAATGTTATGCTCTTTGAAAGTATAATTCGCGGTATAGGAATTGCTCTTTTATAGTGGAAAACGCGAATGGCAGTGGTGTATCAGCACCTCACTGATAAACTATATAAATTAGAACGGCGTTTGGGTGACGAATCGTAGGGGAAACAACATTGTGCTAATAGTACCTAACAAAAATAATTAAACTTACTTTTTTGTGTCTCCAACGGGCAGTAATTTTTTTAACCAAATTATTTATTTTTACTATGATTTTTAACACAAAAGCGGACAATGCCCATATTAAAAAAGAAGTAGAGGCAGTTTTTTTCTTTATTGAAATACTGTCATATGGGTAAAACAAAAATTAATATCATTATGGAACAATTATGCAAATACTGAAAAAGAATTTAATTTTTGACGGTTTGGTGTTGATGGTACTGAGATTAACTTATGAAATTCATGTGATTCTAATTCTCCAATATTCATCAGTTCCGCGAATTACTTTTTTTCTCAATATCATATTTCAGAACCATGTCCCATGCCCATACAATTAAAATTGAGCCTTTATAGGTAGGAATATGGACCAGATGGTGGTTGATTGAAAAACCCGACTCTAATCCTTGCTTTCTGAAAACCAGAACCGAAACCATCCAAATGTACATAAAAGATTCTTTGGTTTCGTCTCTTGACTTTCTCTGTTTGAAACACTTGAATGAAAGCAGAATTTTGAACGGGTAGCATTGCTTGTAATGGGAAGTAAAATCATCCCCTATAAAATCTTTAATTTAAAATGTTTAAATTATTTGAAAGGAATTTTTCGTTTGCTATTGTGTCTGTGAAAATGTTGGCCCTAATTTCGCAAATCTTTATTGGATAATAGAGAATTTACTGTTGTTCTTTTCCCTTTTCCAGAAAATCCAGATATTGTGTCGCAACCAGAAAAACTATAGAGGACTGCATAATATTTAGAAACCACTGAATGAAACGAAAAATTTTACATTTTTCAAGGGCGATAACTGTTTATTTGAATAAATAATAAAAACTTTAAACCACAATCAAGAACAAATCATTTAAAACAAGTTTTTGGCATAATCCAATCTGATTGTTTTAAACCGTTTTTTAACACTGGCATTTTCGGTTGAAGGTAAGGTCGTCTTTTAGGTTGAACATCGAAATGAGAATTAAAAACTGATAATCCCACTTTTCTGGAGAATTTAAGTAAAAAGAGCAAGTCGGCCAGGTCACGTTAATAACGTTATAGCAGGGACCCGGATCGGACCGAAAACCGGACCGAAATCGGTATTTTTTTCAGGACCGAAAACCGAATCAAAACCGTTATTCCTTCAGAAATGGAAACTTGTTGAGAACCGGAATCCTTATTATTTTTTTCTGTTCTTTTCGTTTTGTTTACGGTTCTTAACAGGTTATTGGAAGTTGAAGGATGCGCCCGCAAACTCGTTCTGAAAATTGATAAAATATTATACTCTATGATTGCTATCGGTGGATTATACATTTTTATTAATATAAGGGTCGAAATTGAAGGCATTACGAGTGGCGGTGGCGGTAATTTAGCCACTATTGTAAATGTAAATAATAAAAGGAGGGACGAGGTTTTATAAAATAAAAATAAAAACAGTACTCCATACAGTCCCCCCCAGTCTCATATTCTACTAATTTGTTTTTCCTATTAAAAGCACAATATTAGCTTTCGTTTGCAATGATTTAGAGACAAGAGGTCTCTGTGAATTTTATGACAAGTTCAACTAAGGCAAGTTTACTACACTGCCAACATTTTAACGAAATTAAAATAACCGTTTTGGCAAAAAAATATTTTAGTTTTAGGAATGTGTAAGTAATTCAGTACTTAATAAAACAGACAACTGGTACGTGTATGCTAAAACCGAGGGGTTAGTCAGGATTCATTGCCTAAAAATTACCACCATTTCCTTTAATTTCCCCAACATTTCCAGCATTGGCTTAAATTCTCCCAAATTTACACAACATTTAACGCGAAATGAGTAACGTTACATCCCCTAGAAACCTTTTATTTCCTTAAAATTTTCTCAAGATCTCTTCAGAATTTCCTCTTCTTTCCTCAAAATTGGTAATACTAAAGTACATAGAATTTCCTTATTCGTCTGAAATTTCCTATTTGTCCAGAATTTCCTCTAATTTCATCCATTTGCTACATATTTCTAAGCTATTTCCTCCAAATTTCCTATATGAGGAGTATGAATTTCCCTCGTGACCAACCCCGGGGGGTTTTACTGGACAAAGATTTCCTTCACTGCCTAAAAATTGCACAATTTCCCTTAATTTCCCCAACATTTCTAGCATTGCCCAAATTAAAACTATATATCACCAAATTAACGTGAAATGAATAACGTTACTTGTTACTTCCTTATAGAAACCTCTAGATTTCCTCAGAACTTCCTCTTATTTTCTCCAAATTTCTCCCTAGAATTTCCTCATTTCTTTCAAATGTCCTCTCATTTCCCCAAAATTTCCTCTAATTTCGCCCATTTCCTACATATTTCCTTGAAACTTCCTATATGAGGGACCCTCGACTAAAACCATGCCTCGCATTAAAAAAAAGTGTCGGCTCTAGGTCAGAAAAAAATCTGGTTATGTACAGGGTGTCCTAATAATAAAGGTCACGGCATTTCTATGGAACCGTCAATTGCACAGCTTGGAGAAAAAGATTTTGTTAACAAAGAAGGCTAAGAGAAATCGTTGGAAATAATTTTCAAGTTTCTAGATTTGCTGCTAGAGGACGTATGATTGCCGACTTGGCGGAATATTGTGATTTTAATTTGTGAAAGTGCGCGTATTTTCGCCCTTGGGAAACAGATATCAAAATGCGGTTTTCACTGATATTTTCACTTTTTCTTTCCATTTAATAATATCACATAATGATTGCATCGTTCGCGCACAAGTACGTTTTCTTGCGTCGCGCCGACTCCAAACGAGCAAAGATTGATGTACCTCCAAATAAATTGTCAATAAAAAAAAATGAACGGGTTTAAACAGCACTGTCATTGTAATACAATAAGGTTACAGTAAATGTATGAAAACCCTTGTAGCTTGCCCCTACCCGATATATTTTGAACTAAGTTTAGTTTACAATTAACAGACTGGTTCGGGTGTTATTGTCTGCAAGAGAAGATTAATTTTGATGATTTTCTTTGTATAAGTTTTATCAATAGCAGAAGATGTGAGGGGGCTTATTAGTAATTCCACATCGTCAGAAATTATATTAAATGCAGTATTGTCAAATTTGGTTGAAATATCTTCATTATTTTCGGAGAGGAAGAATAATTCGCACTTTGATGTGTTAATTTCGAGTTCGAGTTCTTTGAAGGTAAAATCAGATTTTATTTATTTATTTATTGTCCCTCTCTTGTTCTGGGCCCTCAACAGACTTTCGCCCAATTGCAGAGTGATCCGTATAATGCTTTTTAGAGGTGCCCTTGCCGAAGGTCTTCAGTTGTTCTATACTCCTGTATTTACCTTACGAATTAGGAAAACTGCAGGAAAACCGAATTCGGAGTAACCGGCAGAATGTTCGAAACTGATCTAAGGAAATTCCCATCTCTACCACAGATGAAAAATTCTTACCTCAGCCCAGATTCGAATGCCCGACCTCCAGGATATGTAGCTCAACGCTCTACCACTGAACCACAGTAATCAGTAGAATGACATCTGGAGGGCCAATTAAGGTTCCATCATCAGGATACCATATATTAAGGCTGAATTTAAGTTCTTGAATTATTTTATGAATTGATAGACCTCCGGATTTATAGTCCAATGTTCTACCACTGAGCCACAAAATCGGTAAACCAATATTGATAAATTTTCTAGCAGAATTGACAGCAGCTGCGCATCCTCCTTTCGTATCAACTCAAATTTGATGAGAGCATAAGTAACCACCAATTACGTCGCCTACATGTTTCATCCAAACGTAATAGGAGAGCCGTATAGAATACTGCAAATGGCCTTATTTAATTTACCAGCAAGCAAAAAGTTACATAATTTGATAAACAGATAAGGCACATCCTAGCTTGACCATTAGATTATGATGTTGAACCTTTCAGGTGTTGAGGATCTTCAGAAGCCATAAGGGGATCCATTACATTAGGTAAAGGATCAGGAATTGATAACGACCTGGTAGTGAAAGTTCTGGCATCTTCTGGAGCAAGAGAATCTTGAGTAGATAATATTTTTGATTGCACCTCATATATCACCATCTGATACTTTTGCTGCAATTCGTTTGGATAGAGAAGTAGCCTTTTTTTAACATTTGAAGGTATTGAAATTTCCAAAGTGAGCGCCGACACATTATTTTTGACAATCTGACGGGGGGATTTATTTGGTTCTAGTGGGATTCTGAAAGTGGTGTATGCGAGAGTAACAAGCTGAAGCCGTGATTATAAGCCTTTGTTTCGAATCATGGGAAGTTTGTACGCTGCAGTGGATTGAGCGCCTTAGTGTATCCTCAATAAATTTGTAATCGAAAGGTGATATTTGCGTAGGAGGTAAAATGTCGACTAAAATCTATGGATTTGTGTGTTGAGTTCAAGTTTTCTTATAAGATTTAGAACATTATACTAAATTTGGTTTTTGGTTGTTGGGTTGGGTTGAGGAACTTTGGATGCAATCTGCACATCCACAGAAAGATGTGTAAATTTTTAGAAGGATCTATAAACTCACAAAAAGATATGTTCTGTAGCCAGTTTCCAGGTGCACCAGTATAAATAAACAGTTAGTAATAAAAAATTACTTGTATTGTCCTTCA